AACAAACGTGAAGGAATGAGGTTATGTCGCGACAAAACAGGAGTGAATCCCACTTGTCTATTTGAGCGCCTTCAAATCAGCAAGGTGTTTTTGAATGTTGATACAGGTTTGTTTGGATTTACTTAAAACTGAATGAAAATCGTCATCAGCAATAAACCTCTAGTCAACAGTTCAGTTGACAAAAATCTGACCGGGCCCAGTTAACAAACCGCTCCTGAGCATGACCTTCCCACTTGACAGTGTTGCCTTTGCCTTCTTCGGTGAGGGGGAAGAGGGGTTTTTCCATTGCATGGAGGACATTTTTGTTCTGGATCACAATGTTGAATCTATTTTTCATCCATAGTCACCATGTTTTTAAAGAAATGTGTCTTAATGGACTCAATTCGAAGGAGAGATTTGCAGGACTCAACCCCCTGCTTCTTTTGCTCACTTGTCAAAAGACGGGGTAAGATGATCATGGAGAATCATTTCAATTGACACTACATTGATTCTCGTTTCACTTGATAGCTGTTTAACAGTTATACATCTGTCTTGTAGAACCAGTTTCTTCACAATGGATAAGTTCTCTTCAGTTACCAATAAGGATGGACGCCCTTCACGATCTTCATCCATCACCGATATGAATCCAGATTTGAATTTTCTTACCCAGTATGTCACAGTATTATAACGAGGGCATTTGTCACCATAAACTTGGACCATTTCCTGAAAAATGTCCAAATGGGATTTTCCTTGCAAATGTAAAAATTTGATAACTGAACGATATTCAATAGGGTCCATGGCACAGCTTCAGCTAAGAAAAACAAATAATATGTTTTTGTGCATGGTTTCATTGACCACGCTGAACAGTACCTTATTATTGTCAGATTTTCCTGAAAATTTGCACGGTGTGTTCCAAAGAAATTGAAAAAAGGATGGTGAAATTTCATTACTCTACCATAATTCCTTCATTCTAAGACCAAAGACTTATTGAACCCCCCCCCCCCCCCCCTTCGTATATATAACTGTGGGCCTGCTAACTATTTAGGCTACATCCCTAACCCAGGTGCGAAGTGACCAAGAAAGTATAAATAATGTCATAAGAAAGAAACAACAACAACAAAATAAGAATAACAGCAAAACAAACCAACATACAGCGAAGCCATTGACTGCAGCCAGAATCGGCTTTCTACATCTGTCAAACGCACTGAAATCTGGAAAGTCTGCGGTGAAGACCTCATGAAATGTTTTCTGCATCATTTCCCTAATGTCAGCACCCGCTGAAAGTAGAACAAACACTCATCTGAACACTGTGTCTTCGAGAAATGAGAAGATAATATTATCTGTCAAGCCAGTGGCACTGAAAAGATTATACACAAACCAGCAGCACCTTAAAGGGACACACGTATCGATTCCCATATCACAAAGAGGAGGGGAACAGACAATCCCCAACATAGACAAAAAAAGAAGTAATTATAGTCAACCAAGAAAGCAAAACTGTAAAAAAATCTTTGAGGAATCTCTCATTGTTACATTGACAGTGCATCCTTCCCCTCTCCTCCTACTATGGCCTGGTCATCTGAAAAATAACCACTGACGACACAAGGCCCAGTCACTTATCGATTGCTCAAAGCTTTGTTACCTACTGACCACGTGAGATTCTGTCCCCAACTGACACTTAGGGCCTACTGATAAGTCAAGGTCCTGTCTCCAACCAACCAATCGAGGCCTTGTCGCCTATTGACATCTATTGACCGCTTAATATTATATTTGAGGTTCTTCACCTATTGACACTTATCAACCATTTGAGGTTGCGTCACTTATTGGCTATTTGAGGCCCTGTCGCCTACTGACATATTTTCATCATAATAAGCCTTGTCGTTTTGAAAATCGAAACAGATCATCTTTCTTATATTGTTACGTATTACGTTTCTTTCCACAAACGTCCTCGTCATTTCGTTATACTCGCCTCGTTTTCCCTTTAGTTCTGAATCAACACGGTTGAAAACAATACCATTTTATCAAAAGATATATTGTTTCTGTTATCTGTGTCGTAAACATCATTTGCAGAGGGAGAAAATATGCGTCGTGCATTATATGGCCCTCATACAGTAGTTAAGAAACCGTAAGTGTGTAAGTGTAGCAAGTGTTCACTAGTATTGTGAGTAAACCAAACAAACTCTCAACACTGACGGTCAAGATAACGAGGCTGCCTGTACATATACCTGCAAAGGCTTTGTCGCTGCCAGTGATTACGATAGCTCCGACATCTTTGTCTGCGTCTGTAATGTCAAGGGCGGCATTGATTTCACTGAAGAGAGCGTCACAGAGGGTGTTCAGGGCCTTGGGCCGGTTCAGCTGGATCAAGAAAACATTCTGTTTCTCTCCTCTTTTCTCCACTTTGATGTTCTCATACTCTGCTAGGGGAACAACGAAAAACAAACAAAACTCGCATTTAAGGGAGTCTGAGTAATACTCGCTGTTTTACACTGTTTTATATAAAGAAGGGTGAATTGATACTCGGTGCATTTGCCCCCCCCCCCCCCCCCCCCCCATCATACCGCCAACCCCTACCGTCAAGTTTTGTCAATGTACGAAAAGAAACGTCTTTTTAAACATAGACACCGCCATCCGCCAATTGTCTGAGTTGTACGGTCCTTATTTAACTCATATAAATTTGCCCCGCTATACTGCCAGTGAATTGGCCGCCAGAGGTACACACTACACACAGCGCACAACACCCACACTGTGGCCGCTTGATTATCTCTTTACCACACACGCCTCTGAGAGTCTAGCCTATTGCTAGCATTTGTCGCCGATTTGCTGCTGATTGGCACTGGTTATGGAAATGCTTTTAAGTTTAGGATTTGGCCTGTATTTTTCTTATGGAATTAAATGTCAAGTCGCCCGGAGAAACTTCCAAGGAACTTCACCATCTCAGCCTGTTAGTAGATATCAGCATAATGACCAAAAGGCTGGCGGCCGCCTATAAGGCTTTTATTTTGTGAGGATTCACGCCCAAATGTACATGGCAGGTCTGAAGCGGCCCGAAGACAGACAAGTATCGGGTTAAGAGAAAAAAAAAAGGAAAGCAGACTGTACATGTGCAGGGTCCTTGTAACATAATGTAGCAAATTTGCATATGTGGGAGAAATTTTCAATTTGAATTTACATAAAGTTTAACTTGAGCTGTACGTGTAATTGGTAGCTACTCGTTTTCCCCCATGTTTTATGGCAATCATGCAAGGCAAACCTAAAAGAATCAAGACTGGCCACAGTTTGTCTCTATTCTGTACCAGTCTATCCCAAGTCAAGATAGCAATCGGTGCCATCCCGTTATACCGCCAGCCCCGTTATACGCCAACTTCATGCTCGTCCCGTGGTAGGCGGTATGAAGTTTGACTATATAGCTGATTTTTGGGGTGTTTTAGAAGAGGCTTTACGGCGCTCGCAGCTGCATAAGGTCATATGAGCGCCAGAAGATCAGAGGTGTCACAAGAGAGTAACAAACATGAAAAAGAAGGAGGGGAGATAAGGACGACAGATGTTTGATAGGAAAGAAGAAGCAAACCACACCAGAGCACCCGTCAACCACCCACATAGCAGATTTAAGAGATAAAAAAAAGATAAAGATAACACAATAGAACGCCAAAATAAAATCACCCGTACGACCATTGAGTGATGTCTGTGAGCGTCAATCGTTAGAGGCATTGCATCTAACACTGATGCACAGTACGTCTGTTTGTTTTGTTTGTTTTTCAATATAATAGGTGTTGTAACGCTACACCCACACATTTTAGATCTTTTAGGAAACGGGTTCCGATCCTGCTTGCCAGGCCCAATCCGGTCTGAGAGGGCTACAACATCCAAGCAGAAAGACTTATACTCTATACATAAGTTCTACACGTTCGGGAACTGAGTACTCAGGTCCCCTGCACTCGACAGCGAAGTGCCTAACCACTACCTGCCCCCGTCGTTTTATGCACCCCGCATAATTTAGCAACATTTTGTCATTGTTTGCATAATTTCTTATCATTTTCCTTTATCATTCTTTGTCAAAATTAACAGAATCGCATAATTTCAAATTTTTTGGCTCAGTTTGCATAATTTCATAATAATGTTTTGTTTGCAAAAAACCGCGGGGACAGCACTACACAACGAACACGGTATCTATTTGCCCACCCCCCCCCCCCCCTCCCCCGGTCAAGGTTTGTGAGAAGAAAAGTGAAAGCCGATGTACACAGCAGTGATGAAAAAATAGACAGCTGCATTGACATAAAGCAAAACAGAAGAAAACAAGTTTGTTGTTCAGAGTCAATGGCGCACAATAAACAAAAAACAACAACACAAACAAAAGAATAGAACAAAAAACCATAATTTCAACGTTCATATTAAACGCTCATGAGCAGTAATATTAATTAACGGGACACTTCGTAGGTTAACACAACCTTATACCCTGTGCACACTGCCTACTGAATGCGGTCGAATACGTTCGAGTTGAGTTGGACCTAGCCAGATTTTCGTCCATGGAGGGACAAGGGCTACCATCATGACACAAGCTGAACGAATTCGATGGTGACCGAAAGCAAAGTCGTTTACTTTTGAGGCCGCAAGTCGAACGTTCGTTTTTTTTTTTTTTTAGCCAATCAGAACAAGGTTAAAAGCTTACGATTCATTTGATCATCGTGACATTGCAATGTCAAGGTCAGACCTTTTCGCGCAGAATGCCATAGCAAAACAAAATAGACGCTGTAAGTTTCGAGAAGACCATTGAGATCTACAAATCATTCCCATGTTCATGGGATTCGAGAACACCATAAAAGAGTAACGATGGATATATGGCAAACAGCCTTGAAAATCATTATACGTGGTGGCTTTCTCGTAAACTGTAAGTTTTGTTACTTCCGAGTTATTTTATACCAATGGGGCAGGGGTCTATTTGTAGAGTGCACTAAAGTGCCAGAAATCGACCCTCTTATCTCAGCCGAACTGAATCGAATCAATCTGATCCTCCCAATGGGCGGCGCCTATTCCTGTCAAATCAGTTACCTCCATTTCAGTTTCTGCAAACTTTGGGCACGAGGCAGACTTCTGACGTATGTAGCAACTGCAAGTACATGTATGTCACATTTTTACCATTCAGTAAATGCAATAAACCAGAACAGTCACACAGACAGTGTGGGTGTTAAAAAGTATGGGTTTAACCAATGATAGTAAATAACAAGATGGGCCACTCAGCCAAAAAAGTGTCCACAGGAAGTATGCTCTTTGCTTCAGATGGCGCTGCAGTCTGTTTTGAAGCTCTCTTTCGTTTTTCCAGAAGAAGAATAGGAATAGCACCTCCTTGCGTGCGCAGATCGACTGCTGTTCATCAGCAGTTCGGGTACGTTCAGTGCGGAGTTTTAGTTTTTTTAAATTTTAATGACCTCTCGCCCTTCATTCTAAAGTCAAATTAAACAAAGAAAACCCTCACCCTTTCCTCCGGAAGAGGTTTTTTGTCAGCGTAACCATTTTACAAAAGCGTTCTTCCGAAATTTATCCCAAAACTTGCTAGTTTCACTTTGATTTTTTAAAACTCAAGTAGGGTAACTCTGTTCGCAAAGAGTGCGCTTTTGTGAAGAGGGCGCCACCAAATTTTGAGGACACTTTTTTAATTGGCTCAATGAGAGAAGTGGCCCATCTTGTTATTTACCATCATTGGTTTAACTCTTTAAGGACAAAGCAAACACTTATTTCCGACGAGCAGCAGATCAAAATAATATGCCGTTGCACATTTCGAACCATCACTCGCAAATCAGAAACTCAAATTTTTGCAATTTTCATAGTACTCGTATACTTGTCGTTGTTTGCCTGTTCAAGTTTCAGAAAAAGAATAAAGAATCACAAAATCTGCACAAATAAAGAAGTTATACTTACACTTAAAAAACAGGCATTTTCAAGCTTTGTCAAATGGCCAGAATGCACGCCTTCAAAGAGTTAGTGCCCCATTCAGTATTGAAAGCACGGGCAGACGGTGAATATAATTGTGGCAAGCAATTTTATTATTTTATTCACCCAAGAAATGCTTACAACATTGCCATAAACAACCCAGCAAACTATTCTAAACATCAAATATAACAGTTTGGCCCCTGGCAGACGAGCAACAATTGTCGCGCAGAAAGTGTCGCTTTCACGGGGCGACATTTAACGCTACTGCTCAGATCAACATGGACGATCGGAGAGTGTTTTAGATTTAGTAAGAGTTTTACGGCACTTGCAACACAATAAGGCCATATAAGTGTCGAAGATTACAGGTGTTATAAGAGAGTAACATACGCAAAAAAAAGAAGAAGGAGGATAGATTAGGATGATAGATCTAGACGTTTAATAGGAAAGAAGGAGCAAATCACACCTTAGCACCTGCCGGAGAGTGAGTGAGGGTGGCTTTGGTCATGGTGATGAGGAGAATCTTTAAAAGAAAAAAAAAGATTTTGGGTTCATCCCATTGTTCCTCACAGATTAGGCTACTAGATCTAAGAGGACAGTTTTACACATCAACCTCATATGAAGAACTTTAAGGAGGGGGGCTACACCCCCAAAGTCAAAATTCGGCTCAAAATCATGGAATTTGAGTTGTAGGCATGTTTAGTTTCCTCAGCCTCTCCTACAACTATTTCATAGCATAAGAACCCCCCAAAACCGTATTTTTTCCCATACCGGGCATGTTTGTAACCGCCATTTCCTCATAAAGTCAGTATCTTATTTTTCTTTATCAGCCGTTTTCTCAAAACGCGACTTTTCTCTATACTTTTTTTAATAACTCCACAATTTTTCACCCAATCTTCATGAAATTTTCACAGAGTGAAGAGAAGAGGTAATACTAAAAATTTGTCTGTTGAATTTTTTTATATATGGAATAGATTTTTGTTGGTGGTGTCTTGAGTGTGGATTTTCACGGATTTTTCGCAAACTTGAATGCTACCTCAGAAAAAAATTCATTAAAATCTTCTAATTCGTTTAGGAAAAAAACAGGAGACAAATTTTTAGATCTGATGTTTGTAAACACGCATGCAAAAAAACAATCAATTTCCATGAGCAATAAGTACGGTATTCATTACGTAAACATGTCAATAAAATCCAATATGGCGGCGTATCCATGGAAACGAAACTTTTTTCTCAAATTTGATTGCGGATTGTAAGACTCCCTACTATGCTTGTTATATGTGTGAAATTTGGTAAAATTCGGTCCAGTAATAAGCGAGATAGCCTCCAGGTGTACCCTCCCCCCCCCCCCCCCCCCCCTTAAAAAGACGAGTCCAAATTCTTCAATTAGCCTACTTGCATCATTGCATTCTGGGCTGAGTTCTAGGCATGCACCTATCCAAGTATCATTTTTTTTTTTTAAGTTTTTATATTCCTCACTTGTGTTGTCCCAACTGATGTTTCTGCTTTTTATTTCCAAAACCAAACGCTCTGTTTCGTGATAAGAAGATATGGTTGTACTGGGAATATTGTCGTGTTGAATGAGAAGCGAGAAAAAACACAACTCGCGACCCCAGTGCTTTCTTGTCGTATCTCCATTTTTAATAACAATGAAAACAGTTCATACCAAAGAGTGAGCTTAAGAAGAAAACACATTTTCACTGTTACTATTGTAGAAATGCGCCGGCAGAAAATACATCTCTGTGTCCGCGTCCCTTGAACCAAGTGCTTCACCAAAGCCTATGCCATGCTTGTCTACGTGTTTGTTGGTTTTTGTTGTTGTTTGTTTGTTTTGGGTTTGTTTTTTGTTTTTTTACCTTTCTTGTAAAACTACGAACAAATCCCAACATTATCGTATCTAACTATTCCTTACAGAGTTGACTAATGGTACATTACTCTTAATTCGATTGATTGGGATGGAGGGTATTTTAAATTTTTTAAAAACATAAATAACCTTTTTTCTCTTGACATGTGCTGCGGCCCTCTGCTTACGTTGCTGACATAGACATTACCAACAAAATTAACGAACAAATAATCTAAATTACTCAGCAGTCCTATCGGGTAGCACGTATTTATGTGAAATCGTTTAATTTGTTAAATAACTAACCTGCTGAAGAATAAAGCCTTTGGCAGGCAATCCGAGGCATATTCCCTTCTGCTCTGCACGACTGAAGCACGACAGAACCAGCAACACTGGAGAAAACGCGACCAAGACTAGCCATACTTGGTTCTAAATCATTTTTGCAACGGTACAAAACATTTATTTTTTAGGGGAGGGGGGGGGGGGTCTAGCAGATTTAGTGTCTTGAGAATGCGTTAACAGTGCACAGAGCTGACTCAAAAAGCAACAGAAGTTTGATAACCATCTGCTATTGGAGCGCTGTGTGGATGGTGGATGGTGGCTCTCGGTGGGTGTCCGGGTGACTGACTGGTTGGTAGATCTGTGCTGGGTAGAGCTGGGCAGGTACCAGTGTCAGTATCGGAGCTCCCAGTTTATCCGTAAGATATGCCAGTATCGGGACCAGGCTCCCACAATGATAGTACATAACAAGATGGGTCACTTCTCTCTTTGAGCCAATTAAAAAAGTGTCCTCAAAATTTGGTGGCGCCCTCTTCACAAAAGCGCACTCTTTGCGAACAGAGTTACTCTACTTGAGTTTTAAAAAATCAAAGTGAAACTAGCAAGTTTTGGGATAAATTACGGAAGAACGCTTTTTTAAAATGGTTACGCTGACAAAAAACCTCTTCCGGAGAAAAGGGTGATGGTTTTCTTCGTTTAATTTGACTTTAGAATGAAAGGCGAGAGGTCATTAAAATAAAAAACCCTAAAACTCCGCATTGAACGTACCCGAACTGCTGATGAACAGCAGTCGATCTGCGCACGCAAGGAGGTGCTATTCCTATTCTTCTTCTGGAAAAACGAAAGAGAGCTTCAAAACAGACTGCAGCGCCATCTGAAGCAAAGAGCATACTTTCTGCGGACACTTTTTAGGCTGAGTGGCCCATCTTGTCTTGTACTATCTTTGTTACACCGGCACCTTCCCAGTTTCGATACTGGTGGGAGCCAAAGATAGTGAATAACAAGATGGGCCACTCAGCCAAAAAAAGTGTCCGCAGGAAGTATGCTCTTTGCTTCAGATGGCGCTGCAGTCTGTTTTGAAGCTCTCTTTCGTTTTTCCAGAAGAAGAATAGAAATAGCACCCCCTTGCGTGCGAAGATCGACTGCTGTTCATCAGCGGTTCGGGTACGTTCAGTGCGGAGTCTTAGGTTTTTTAAATTTTAATGACCTCTCGCCCTTCATTCTAAAGTCAAATTAAACGAAGAAAAACATCTCCTTTTCCTCCGGAAGAGGTTTTTTGTCAGTGTAATCATTTTTAAAAAGCGTTCTTCCGAAATTTATCCCAAAACTTGCTAGTTTCACTTTGATTTTTAAAAACTCAAGTAGGGTAACTCTGTTCGCAAAGAGTGCGCTTTTGTGAAGAGGGCGCCACCAAATTTTGAGGACACTTTTTTAATTGGCTCAAAGAGAGAAGTGGCCCATCTTGTTATGTACTATCATTGGGTGTAATAAGCCCAAATCACTCTATGCAACAAAAACTACCATAGTCATTTTGGTAACGCTGAAAACACTATCATCAGTAGTGTTTATAGCACAAACCATCACGCCAAAAAACACTATTTCTAGCTATGCCAATGTAACTATCCTTAAGCCAAAATAACTCTATGCAACTCACAACAATCAATACCATAGTCATTTTGGCAACGCTGAAAACACTATTAATTAGTAGCGTTTATAGCACAGACATTCACGCTAAATAAACTACTGTCTCGCAAAACAACAACAACCCACTACCATCAGATGTACGCAGAGGCCTATTGGCTTAGGCAATATATACAGGAATTATACCATCACGCAATACAGTGTATTTTCAGCTCCTCACGCCTAATTCCCTACCATCACGCAAAATCCACTATCGTTTGTGTTTATAGCTCTGGCATTCACGTCAAAATCACTATTTCTGGCTTTATCAATAACATCACTCTCTTTCAAGCAAAAATTATTATACAAGTACATGCATGTATGTTAAAAAACGCTTTCCCGATCAACGATCATGCTAAACAAACTACTGTCCCGCAAAAAAAAACCCACACTACCAACCTTGAACCAGATGTAGGCTACGTATATTTTTATACATGTACCCCCCGGGCGGTGCGACCAAAAACTAGAACTGACTGAAGTGTCTTTAAGCCATTCCCAAAGAGGGGACATTAACCATGTTCTTACGCGCAATAGAATTTTAATTGTAAATGGGCTGATTCATCAATGTCATGCTCATAACTGAGTCTGAACTTCAACAGGGAACTGCTGCTTTTTCTTTCCTAATCCTTACTATCGTCATTTTCCTCTACTTCTTTATGTTTGTCACACTCTTGTGACCCACTAGATCTATTTCCGGGGTGCCTTGATAGTCGAAGCAGACTTTGTGCTGTTGAAGCTAGAGAGGTGAGCAGAGTAAGCCTTTCCCTGTAAGGGCTTCTCTGTTGACATCCACCCCTTGGCGCTCCTATGACCTTATGCAGTTGTGAGCGCCGCAAAACCTCTACTAAAACAAAACAAAAACAGAGCATATTCTTAGGCAATATTATTTATATTATATAATCACACAAACCCCGCTATTTCCGGCTTCTCACGCCTAATTCACAACTATAGAGACTTCAAAATCCACTCATATATTAAGGATCGTATTGTGAGTAATTTGGAATTATCTATTTAGTGGATGAACCTTAATTGCGGTTGCCACGGTAACGGCGGCCATAGGAGAATTTACAAGTTTTTGGTATGTTTTTTAAAACAATAAAAGTCAAGACATCGCATGCTTTTTCCGTTATCGTATATATTTTGTGAGAGAAAAAATATTTTTTAAAATTAATCATTGAAACATTTTAAAAGCCTTGTTTGTTTGTTTTATTTACAAACATCAAAATCTTTAGGTAGAAATAAGATATTAAAAAAGCATGTGATATCTTGCTTAGCTTTATTTGGACCACATCTCTGCCGAGTTTCATTTAAAGCCAGTCATAAACTTCTGACTTTAAGCAAAAAAATATATACAGAAAAATATGATTTCGAAGAAAACGCAATTTTAATTCAAAATTTGTTCTCGGAAGTAGTAAATCGCTATCTTTCAAAGGCATTTTAGAAGAAATGTATATCTGTTTGGGGCATAATACTGACGCAATAGGCCTAGTGGCTAAACTAAAGGGAAATGGTTCTTAAACAATGATATTTTGAAGCTAAACCCTCATTTCAGGTGCAATCTCTTAGTTATAATAGCCCAAATAGGTACTGGTCTTTAAAATACTGGGATAGTGTTTTGAGCATAATGTCTAAACAACAAAAACAACCGCAGTAGAGTTTATTGACGAATGACGATAGTGCTTTGGGCGTGTGAAGTCTATAGTGTTCATAGCGTACGCCAAAGTCACTAGGGTAATGTTTACAGTACATGTATGCAAAAATCACTGCGGTAGTAGTTATGGCATGAAAGCTTTAAGCTTACGCCAAAACCACTACGGTAGTCTTTATTGTACGGTAGTGTTCTGAGCGTGAAATGGGCACCACATTTCAAAACTGACATAATTTTAAAAATTAATTAATTATATTTGATAAAGATAAGATATCGCACTAAACTAGGATCATCGAAACAATCTTTGCTTATTTAGATATGGTGATTCCGAAAATGATTAAGATTTTAGCTGCAATAGATTTACAGTATATTTTAAAAACTGTTCGCCAAGTTTGATCTCACGTGACGGAAAAACTCAAAAGGTTAAACTTTGTGAACAAATCAAAATAAGCAAAGTGTTCGAGAGGAATCTGATTTGATTCGATATTTAAACGTAAACAAATAAAAGTTCATTTTACGGTTTATTGTCAGTTTTGAACTTAAGCAGTTTACTCCGTGTGTTGTGTTGTTAGCATATGACGTCAAAGCTCGTGAACACCGCACAGTCACTGTACAGTATGGCGACTCCCAATCGAAAGAGAATTGGACAATAAATTGGAACGTGAAGGGGCCGACAGTTATAACTGTTTACGACAAATCTGATACAATTTATCGCTGCGAGTTAGCCCTTGTGTCCACCAAACCAGAAACCGCCCGTCCAATAGTCGTTATAGTAGAAGTTGAAAAGCAGCACCAGTTTTATCTTAGAAAAGTGAGAAATCCTTATTGGATGTGTCCCGCAAAACAACACGACTCCTCCCGACAAAAAAAAACCCCAAACCGAGTCGGTTGGAATAATGCCATATGCAGCACTTTTGTCGGGTCGTTTCATGACTCATCAGCCACAGGCCAGGCAGAAGTACCAAAAAAAAGGTATATTTCTAAGTTCTTGTGAAAATTCTAATGCTATACAGTCCATGTCGGCTTAAGGTCATCGGGAGAAAGTAAAGGCGTGCTTAATGTAATGCCGAAGCGTGCTTGAGACTTGAGTGCGAATTAGGCATTGTCATTATAATCCATAGATTTTTATGTAGAAAATTTCCTGAGTTGTTCCCTTTGTTCGTAAGTACTGGTCGCGCAAAAGTGTGCGCTGTCATTCTTACCTGCCAAGGTAGTTTTTGTGTTTGTTTTATTTTATAGTCGAATGGGAAAGGAAAACTTAATTTAGACGATAGTCACGATATAGATTAGCACACTAGGCCTATTGTGCACACTGCCTATGCGTACCACTGCCCTCTATGTGCCACATTCATTAGTATTACTATTACGATACCGCCTTCATCCCCCCACCTCGCGCGTCGGATAACGAGGGGCAACAGCGAAATCGCAACCAGCCTCCCTTTTTCGTATCCCCGACTCTCTTTGTATTTTTTTCTTCTGTGTGTAGCTTTGTTTGTTTAGTACAGGGTTTTACGGCGCTCGCAATTGCATAAGGTCATATGAGCGCGCTTGTGTAGCTTTGCTCTAAGCTAGATCCTATGTCTACGCGCGCGGCTGAGAGCATAAAAAATTCTCTGCCTTCCTCTCCGCGCATGTATGTGTGTGTCTCCATCACTTGCGTTCTTTGTGTTTAACACACTGCTGCGGTGTAGACTGTGTTCGAACTTCGATGGGTCATCAAGAAAGTATTGACTGTCATGTAAATGAAGCGTGTCCGAAGCCGGAGTTACCGTGCTTAAAGTTAAAGGCGTGTAATTTATATCATAGCAAAAGTTCGGAAAGACCTGGTCAGCGTGCTTGGGTGTCCGAAACGTGTTTTAAATTTATGGCGCGTGTTTAAAGCCGGCACAGACTGTATTCGCGATCAGCGCCTCGTTATTAACAAAATCTGTACGTAAACCACTGGATTAAATGTATGTTATTATCAGTATCAGTAGCGTCGGGCGGGTTGTGAAAAGGACGATGCTTGCCGTGACCGTAATGTTGAGATCACTCAGATTTTATATTTTTTTTAAAGGATGTATAATGACTTAAAAGACAAGGGGTTTGGGAGGGGAGGGGGTAGTTTTGGTTAGTGTTTTGCAGCGCTCGCAACTGCATAAGTTCATATATGAGCTTTCGGGACACATTAAACATTTTTAGTTAATCAGGAATTAATTTTGAATATTGCCCCAGTGGCGGCGAGGTCTACTTTTATCGATTTTGGACCACAAAGGGGGCGTTAACGTGCGCAACTTGCACACGGGACCTCCGAGATTTTTCGCCCTTATCCGAGGTTAGAATGAGAAATTAGATTTTACCTACCCGTCCCTATGATCGGGGTGTGGCTGAAAGTGAAAGACAGCAGTAATAGGGACCAAGAAGTAGCAGAAGAAAGACTGGAGAATTAAGAGTCAGGAGCTAAGAGGAGGAGCTAAATGGAGAGAGGGACCGGAAGTGGAGACGACAGATCGTGGTTAGAGAGCAGGAAAAAGGGAGAACGGAGAGAAGTTTAGAGAAGAATATTATTTTCCGTCGCTGTCAGGTTGCGAACCCGGGACCCATTGAATGAGAGGCGAACACCATAACTTCTGGACCACCTGAGCTCCCCGAAAAGACAAATATGATAAATAAACAACGTGAAATTACAAAGAAATTCAAAAGTACTATAATCTCGTTTGTGGAAATACTGCCACGTTTGAAACCAGAAAAATGGACTCACCTATACGCACATGATTTGAGTCCTTCCATTTAATGTTTTATGTTGAGCAAATTTGCCGAGGACTTTTTGGTTGAACGGTGCATCCTTGATCCTGAACCATTCATGATCCAAATATCTTGTTTGCTTTCCATCCACAATGGGATATCACTGGGGTAATTGACCTTGCACGACTCAAGGTCGAAACAAAGAAACAGATGGTTCTATATTAGGTTCGCGGGCTGAAGCCGCACTGTGTCACGTGATTAGGCATCGCGCACGTGACTCTTGACATCAAATTTGCACATCCTCGCAGTTCCAAGCGAAAGAGCAGCCCGAGCACGCCCCCCTCTCCCCACCCCCTTCTTTTTTTTCCCGTTGGCACTCCGTTTTACGATGTTAATGTGCTAAAATCTCTGCACATTTGAAGGACATTTTGAGCTTGATAATTAATAATATTAATAATAATAATAATAATAATAATAATAATAATGAAGATCATTTCTATAGCGCCCACTCCCGTGTAAACACAGCTCTAGGCGTTTTACATAAATGCATGTACGAACAATTTTCACGTCCGCGACACACACACACACACATGCAAACACTCATACACACACACACAAACACACTCGCTCGGTGATCTCTTGTGTGCGTACCGTGTTCACTTGTGACTGTGATCTATGTGTGGAGTCCAGACAAACAATCAAGCAAACGCTGTAGCATTTGTTTTGTATCAGCGATTTGAGTTGGTTTTAAATCTCAATCTTATGTTTGTTCTTCAATGTGTTGAGTAGAATACATATATTGGAAATTCACTTTGGTTTTTCTGTTTTTTTACTACGGGAAGCTAAGCTTACTGTCAAGAGACTGAGAGTGATACCACATCAAACTCAAACAGCAGAACTCTCGCATCCTGTTGGGGATGGGAAGCAAAATACAAGTAAATATTTAAATCATGATGGTTCATGTGCTAAAATCTCTGCACATTTGAAGGACATTTTGAGCTTGATAATTTGATGATGGTTCATGATGGAGGTAGCACCGTTCAACCCAAAAAGTCATTGGCAAAGTTACTCAACATAAAAAAGGACACAAACCAAGTACATACGTTTTAAAACGCATAGATGAGTCCATTTTCCGGGTATCAAACACAGTAGCCTACATGTATAGCAACTAATAAGATTATAATACTTTTGAATCTTCATTGCATTTATATCAAATTATATTAAACATTACCGTACGCTTGTTTTTTTCAAATGCGTGTTTCACTGTCTTTTCAGTCATTATGCATCCTTTATAATTTGAGGGATCTCTATGTTCGTTCACGACAAGCCCCACACTTTTTTTACAACCAACGCGACGCCACTGCTCATACCCACAAAAAACAAAAACAAAACAACAATAAATCATCGGGTCGTTTATATCGAGTGCCCAGTGCCGATCGGATCAGGTCGGGTTGAGTCAGCAATGGCAGCTTCAGGGCACACTATGAATAGATCCCTCCCTTGCCTTGTGCAATTGTCGAGTCAACTTTGAAAAGAACTAAAAAGTTAGTTGGGAGTAGTGTGTTATAAAACACAAAGTGTACTGTTCACAACACAGTTATTTCCTTCCATGACTGCTTCAAGTGCCAAGTTTCGCATTATATATATATATATATAGGTCGGCTCTATTTCTCCGAACGTTGGGCAAAATAAACTTTAAGTAACTCTATTTCTCCGAACGGTTTCCGTTCTCGAAATTTTAATAATGGAGTGGCTCGCGTGCGCGCATGTGTCTGTGTGCGTGCGTGTGTGTGTGTATCTCTCTGTATCTCTGTCTCTATCTCGGTGTGTTTGTGTGTGTGCGAGAGAGAGAGAGAGAGAGAGAGAGAGAGAGAGAGAGAGAGAGAGAGAGAGAGAGAGAGAGAGAGAGAGAGAGGGGGGGGGGGGCATAGAGAGGTTCCATACAAATTCCACACACACACAAAAACGGGGGGGGGGGGGGGGCGTATATGAGTAGAGGGATTTTTTGTGATACAGTTTTTGTTTTAGGGGTGACTAAATAAATGCCACATAGGTTACTGCTTAAGTCGAGCAGTCTTGTTTTCTCGCACCACCTTTCGAAGGCATTTTCAAATGAAGTATAGTCCGGGAACGTTGCCCCAACCACAATTGAAGTATCTGAACATTCAGACATCTAATAATCTCTAGTTCTAGAAATTGAATTCTATGCAAGAAAATGTTTCTTCCCAGTCCTCGCAGTAAATCTCGCAAATAAAAATTAAAAAATTTCAAGAACAGAAACCGTTTGGAGAAAGAGAGTTCAAGTTTATAATATCAATTAGGAGGTGGGTTGGCCTCTGCCCTGCCTGTCAGGGTCAATCCATGCTGGTCAGTACTGCAAACAATTTAACTGAAAGATGGAAAGTATTCCATGAAAATCATCCTCAGTCTGAAATCGAACCCACTTCTCTTTTGTGCAAAGCAGGAAGTATAACATAACAACACCAGAGATACCAGTGTGGATACCCAGTACTTCCAACAAATTGGGAAAATAAGGTTCACTAAATCTAGTGTGTTGCATAATAGAGCAAAGTTTGTTTCCGAAGAACTAAGAAATCAGCAAGGGCATAACCCAATATTTCCTCCACTAATGCACTCATCTCTTGTGCGAGACAATAGTGCTGTGACTACAATATATCTGACCAACCACTCAGCCCTATTGTACAATCAAAGAGTCAAACAGGTATCAACAAAGGTAAAAAACAGACAAAGAGACTGCAAAACCGCTGAAGTAGTCTATCAGGAAAAAAAATATTGTCAGAGGAGTCAGCACAACTCAGTAGTCACTCATTGTATTGCTCACATACAGCACAAAGTCAAGAGTCATGCCTCGGTTATAACTGTCTGTTTATTTTACAGTCTATCATTATCAACAGTTGCTCCATTTCATCAACAAATTAAGGGTCTCACAAAGCTGGATCTCGGCAAGTTGAGCAAGGTATGACTATGGCAGAGAGAGACCAAGGATAGCAATAACAAAGAAGACAACTTCAGCAGTCTTTGAAGTCTGCAGCCCGTTTCTCCACAAAAGCTGTCATCCCTTCCTTTCTGTCGTTCTGAAAAAAAAAAAGGAAAAATAATAGTGAAACCATTTGGCAAATTTTACAGAAAACCTACAAATATCACACAAAACTAGACTTGATAACTAGACTTTTGGAAAGTTGTGTCACGATGCCGTGGAATCAAGCGCTCGTCAAATTTTGGGCATATGGAATTATTGGTATCACCTAAAAGCTTGTTTATTTTTCTTGCTTTCAGTGAAAAAATACTACTGTATCTTTAATAGAAGTCGAGATATTTGCGATTGAAGGAAGTGGGGATTGATTGGTTTCAGAGATAAAACTAGTGAGAAAATGACCACCAAATTTGGCAACTTCTATGGCTTGACAGTCCTTGGAAACTGAAAATTTTCATTTGAATGCTTTTAATCAACTTTTTTTATTTTTAGGAAAAACCACACAGAAATGTGTTTTTAAATCGACATAAAAGATGGTAAGCCAAAAAACAAAAATTCAATAAAAATTGCCAAACCGACGGACAAAAATGCCGTTTTCTTAAATTCCATTATTTTGATGAGCGCCTGATTTCACCACAATGCCTCACAGTTTCCCTTTGATTAAACAATCAAATCTTTTAAAAAGTCAGTTTCACTCAGATTTACATACAACAGGTTTTTCAATTCAAATTGCAGAATGAATCAAAGCTGTGCTCCCCACAAGCATGTTTGTTTATTGTTTGTTTTAATAAGCGTTTTATGGCCCTAGCAACACAATTAGGTCATATAAGTGCCGAAGATTAGGTGTTACAAGAGAGTGTCTATCATTTTAAAAAAGAGAGAGAGATATAGGCGCCAGTTGTTTGATAGGAAAGAAGGAGCAAACCACACCAGAAAATCCGCCAACCACCCATCCATAGGCAGGGAGAAACTTACCGTGGAGAAAGTAGCATGGAAATATCTCTTCTCCAGGCTAAGGCCCTCATTCAGAGGCATGTTGAACCCTGGAAAAGATGAGAAAATTACTGACTACTGAGGTGGACAAAAAAGTCGAGGAGTTTGCAAATTAAAATTTTTTTTTACAAGTTTCAAGAAGGAAGAAAGATCTTGCAGACTGGCAGATACTAAGAGATTGGCTCTACGTTCACACATTTTTATTTTTTAAAACCAGAACAGTTGACATACTTAACTCAAATGTTAACAAACTTTGATGTAACATTAATTGCACATAATTTCAGACATAAAGTCAGTCTACGGCCTAGCATTGTTTTGCAGCACCCGCAACTTCGAACAGCATGAGGTCATATGAGCATGCGGGACACATTAAACTCTTTCAGTTTCTTAGTAATTAATTTTGAATTTTGCCCAGGCGGCGGTCAAAGCCTGCTCTTTTCAATTTTGAACCACCAAGGAATCTTTAACATGTGCAACTTGCACATGGGACCCCCAAGATTTTTCGCCCTTGTGCGAAAAAAACTAGACGTTAGATCTTATCTACCCTAAGATAAGGGGTGTGGATGAATGACAGCAGTAAGGAGCCAAGGAGTAGCAATAGTAATAGTAGTAGAAAGGCTGCAGAAAGAGTCATGAGCCTAGAAGAGGGGATGGGG